CACACACACACATACACACACACACACATATCTTCCTGGTTTCTAGGATGATGTCCACCTAACACATAAAAAAATGCAATTGTGTGCATGTGTAGTGTTTGACTATGTGTGTGGTATGTATAAGAAAATGGACAAATCAGTCATTTACACATTAGTATGAGTTGATTTAATCAGATTACTTTCTTCCTAACACCTTGTATAAACAGCTAAGAATCAGATATAATTATTGAGGGAGGTAAACAGTGGATATTTGTATAGTGTGTCTTATTCTTGAGGAATAGGACATATCCGAGGGTTATTGCCATAGGAAGGGGTAAAATTCAACTTTAGAGCATGGAGAACCTCAGGATAGAAGCATTTTTTCCTCTTTCATAATTTTGGCTCTGGTGGAAACTGTGATGAGCAGCAAGGTAGTTTTGTGCATTCTTCGTTCTTTATTCTCCTATGATCCCCACTTCTAGAGCCACCACTCAGGCCATTACTTCTAAAACTCCAGGCATGCTCTGTGGAGTGCTAAACAGACATGTTGCTGTCACTTGACATGGGTCCACAACTGTGTCAGAGCACATTGTTTCTATGGAAAAGCTGGCTCAAAATTCAGGGGAAAAAAATAAAAGAAGGAATATTTGGAACACAGCCTTTTAAAAATGAGAGACAAACTAAAATTGTACATTATTTTAGCTTCCAGTTATTTTCTTGGGCAAAAACTTGGTTATATCAGGCCAAGATATTCCAGTTTCTATACCAATTCCAGATATCTCAATTACCTATTGCATTCATATAGAATTAAGCATTTGTCTTTATTACAGAGAAAACATAAATGTTGATGCATTGGGTATATTTTGCTTCCCGATGTCTTGCCTTGGTCTTTGTACCTCATGGCTGGGTCTGTCTGATGCTTCCCTACTGCCCCCTGGAGCTTACCAGATGCTCACTACAGGGCCAGAAAAGTTAAAAAAATTGAGTGTTGAGTATTCCAGGCTGTCCCCTTAGCCCCTGGCATTGTCGATTTTCTGTTTCCTTCCAATGTTTTCAATGTCCCTTTATCCTTTGAAATCTGTCACATAGGAATTTTTTCCCTCTGGAGATTTTAAGGCATGAAAGGAAAGGAAACAAAGGAATCTAGAGTTGTTGTGCTTTTTTCCCCATTTTTAAAATTGATCCTTGGGGGG